CAGCAGTGTATAAAGTATTTTAATGGAAGGATAGTGATGTGTTACATGACATCCTGCAGCAGGACATCCAGTGCTTGTATGGGTGTTTCTACTGCTGACCATTTTGATGCCCAGCAAAAGCACAGCTTTGAAATCATTTGGAAACTCTCTGAGCTGCTGTTGGAAATCTCTCTGTGACCTCTGAGATCTTTCAATGTGACAGGCACTACACGATTGGCATGCCATCAACACGTTGAAAACAGCTCACTGTGTATTGTGTGAGGTCAACCTGTTAGTCTGTATATTTCGTTAAATGGCACATATGGGAATGCTGCATGCATTTGTTAACCAGAGAGCACTCTGCGTAATTCAATCTTTTCTGTTACAGCCTGTAAAAATCACATTAAATATTTGAGCATCTTTTCTACTGTTAGATTTCTCTTTATTTATTCTCAGTTTGTGTGTGCCACAAGTAAAAGTAGTTTGTATTCCCCATCTCTAGTTGTCCTTGAGAAGGTCTAGGTGCTCAGTTCCATCATCCTGTGGAGTTGAGAAAATAAAATAAAGCTTTCACGTTAAAAGACTTTAAATTGCTCATCCCTGAAAAGCTTACATTGTTTGACGTGCTTTTGTGAAAGGTAGAATTATTTAATTTTTTTGGCATAATCAGATTTTAAGTGCTTGTCATGCAAGCATGTTGCTCCTCTTTGATAGCTATAATTATGATGGGAGAAAATCAGAATGACTATGAAAAATGCAACAGCTTTAGGATTCGGTTGTTATGAGCAAAGCTTATTAACCTGAGTTACCTTGTAGTCCTAGCATTACCAGTGGCCTACGAATTGATACTTCAGTGTTCCATTGTTTCAGATGACAGGGAGCAGTCATTTCTTTATAGAATCCGCCATCTAGTGATATCACTTGGGTGAGTAAGCAATTGTAAGTTCAGTTCCATTCCTGTCAGAGGTAGGACAGGAGATTTCTCCTTAAATTGTAAATCGAATTGTTAAAATTTTGACATTGTGCCACACAAATGCTAGGCTATGACCATTCATAATAAGAAACAATCTAACCACCATCCTTTGACATTCAATGGTGTTACCATCACTGAATCCCTGACTGTCAACATTCTGGGAGTTATCATTGACCAGAAACTCAACTATATTCACCACATAGACAAAGTGGCCACAAGAGCAGGTCAGAGGCTAGGAATACTGCAGTGAGTAACTCACCTCCTGACTTCCCAAAGCCTGTCCACCATCTACAAGGTACAAGTCAGGATTATGATGGAATACTCCCCACTTGCCTGGATGAGTGCATCCCCAACAACACTCAAGAAGCTTGACACCATCCAGGACAAAGCAGCCCGCTTGATTGGCACCACATCCACAAGCATCCACTCCCTCCACCACCAACGCTCAGTAGCAGCGGTGTGTACTATCTACAAGATGCACTGCAGAAATTCACCGAAGATCCTTAGACATCATCTTCCAAATCCACGACCACTTCCATCTAGAAGGATAAGGGCAGTAGATATATAGGAACATCACCTTTAAGTTACCCTCGAAGCCACTCACCATCCTGACTTGAAAATATATCGCAGTTCCTTCACTGTTGCTGGGTCAAAATCCTGGAATTCCCTCTCTAATGGAATTGCGGGTCAACCCACAGCAGGTGGACTGCAGCTGTTCAAAAAGACAACACACCACCACTTTCTCACGGGCAACTAGGGTCAGTGCAATAAATGCTGGCCAGCATCTGACAGATGAATAAATAAAAATAAACACTAAATTATACCTGCTTGCACTTCACATGGCTAATCTCAGGAATTAGCCAATAAACAAGCTGTCACATTTTGTCTGTGGTGACATGTAGGAGCTTCGTTTGGAAAAAAAATTCAGAATTAGTTCCCCAAACAATTGGCTACAGGCAAATATACTATAATATCAGTTTCCAAAATTGAGAAAAAAATACAAAGAAACTAACCTTATCTATATTGTATTATGTGATAGGGCCATTGACTTATTTGTTTGTATCAGTCACCAAAAATGTGCAGTGGAGACTGTTCAAGGTGTGGAAAGGATTCTGTCATTCTCTACAAATAATGTGAGGTAGCTCTGACTTCTCTTCAGGAACATTGGTCCATAATTTTGAAACATGTGCAATGAGAACCTGGTACAAAACCTAACTGTTACAACTGCAAAGACTGGTTGGCAATCTTTGCTGATGACTCAGAGGACTGACTTGAAGGATTAGAATTCCAAAATACGGCACCATATTAACCTTTAATCCATACACCTGAGTGCAATCTTTGTCAGCACTTAAATTCAGTACCAATGGAGAGTTCAGTACCAATGGAGTGTGGTACTGCCTTTCAGATTTGTTTTCATGATAGTCAGCAAAGGTACAATAAGACCACAGGAAATAGAAACAGGAGTAGGCCATTCATCGATAACACAGTGTGGAGCTGGAGGAACACAGCAGGCCGGGCAGCATCAAAGGAACAGCAAAGCTGATGTTTCAGGTCAGGACCGTCCTTCATAGTCCCTTCCAAAAACGTCACGGCATTCCAAACTTTTTACAATCATTAAAACACTTTTGAAACGTCCTGGCATTTGTAGAAAATACAGCAGCAAATTTGCACACAAGTTCCTGATGGAGGAGAGATGTTCTTACTTAAAAGTGACAACTGAAAACACTAGAATTTCCAGGTAAATAAAAATATAATTATTACCATTAATAATTAAACACAGACTTAAACAGCACCAACATTTTTTAAACACAAGCATCCTCACATTTACAACATTGTGGTTGACTGATACAGTCGTGTAAAATTCTGATTCGCTCTTGCAGCAAAGAATGTTTTGTTTTCACTATTCTTCTTTGTATTGATATTACCTGTTGGCCCTTTCATGTCTTTCAAGTCCCTTGTCAACAGTCTCAGTTTACACATCCTGATTGATCTGTCAATCAAATCCTACAAAACAATCTAAAGGCATTCAAACAACCCTGTACATGTGCTGCATTGACATCACATAGACCAAATTGTATTTGAGAGATGTTACCTTGGCGTATAGCTGTTTAGATATTGATGCAAACACCTTCAACTTCACAAACACATAACATTGACTCGTCCAAATCAGTATGAAGTTAAAAGATTAATTATTTAGCCAGCTGATGTTTTTTTGGAATCCTCAACTTGCACCAGCAAAATTTGGGCTCTTGTCACAGGGTCTACCCATATTTTTTTAAAATTCAAATGTCTTGCGGTTTCTGTTCTAATTGAACTCAGTTGAAATATTATGAGAAATCACAGCATTGCCATTTGTCTAACTCTTCGCCAACAACCTCTGCAAACAGCAAAGGCTTGGTAGTCGATTTTAAAGTAGTTAATTGGGAGATAATATTGGTTAAGTGCACAAGCACACTTCCGAGAAAGACCATGATTGTTTTCAAAAATGGTGCGGTGAGATCATTTTTAACCACCCAAGGACAGGGCTTAAGTTTAAAGTCTCATCTGAAAGCTGGCACATCTGACTGTGTGCAGCACTCACTCAATGCCATGTTGGATTGTCAGTCTAGATTAGGTGGTCATGCCTGCAGGCAGGGAATTGAACCTACAATCTTTTGACTCAGAATTGACCACTGCTACCACTGAGCCAGAGCACACCCCATAAATGGCTGTCTTCCTTATTCTGTTGACCCTCTGATGTTCCAGGTTGGAGGAGATTGGGGAGATTTACTGAATGGCAGACAAAATGCAGGTGCAGAAAGGTTAGGGGAGAACAGGAAGGGAAGCCAGAAATGCCCATGTGCTACTGCTGGGGAAATGCTGGGAAAGAATGGCATTTCTTCATTCACTGTTGGGTATGATGGCCCATGGAGGATAAGTAAATAAAAGACAATGGAGCTTGGAGTGTTCAAAGTACAAGTAATCCAACCTTCAGTGTTAACTTCAGTCCTGCTTCTGATCAGTCAGCAAGGAATGTGCATGGTTCGAGTTGGACCTGCCGCAGAGATGTGTCATAACTTATCTGAACAAGTTCATTACAAAGTAAAGGTAACATCCGTCTCCCTGTCAGTATTGGAAGACACAACCTCCGATCTACTCAGCATCTTGATTGAAAGCTGATTAAATTCATCTCTGCTATGGGCACATTTAAGAATTGACCAAACTTTGGATGCAAAGTGCTGAGTTAGGAATTTTGATTGTTTAGCCGTTGGGTTTCAGCTCAGTGGAAAATAAAAACATCTTTAAGTGACTGTCAAAAATAGAGTAAAGGGAATTGTACTTTTGCTTTAGGATAGCTACTGAGCATATGCAAAGGAGTTATATTGTGACACTTGATCACATGTAACTAGAGCTTGGGTCTACACGACTCTAAGTAAGACATTCTCTGTTACCATCTGCTGTATGCAGTTATGTTCAATAAAGCCTGTTGCTTTTCGCTCAGTACAGTATACACATCGCATTGCTAAATCAGGCTTAATTGCAGATTCCTGTTTATAGATGATTAAATTCCATTATGTGAGTTGATGCTAGAGTGCAAGGTGTAAAGAGACTTGAAGTGCAAAGAAGATTTATAGGAATGATACCCAATATGAGATAGTACAATTGTCAGCACAAACTGATTACAATACGACTGATTTCTCCAAAAAACTAAAGTCTGAGAAGTGACCTATCAGAGATCTTTAAGATTGTGAAAGGCTTAATAAAATAGATGTACACCACTTGTGAGGGAATGCAAAATGAAGCATTATGAATGCAATATATTCAGAAGTGCAAGAAGTAAGAGCAAGGTAGATAATTACACAACAGAGAAAGGAATAGGAAAAAATTATGAAAGGTAGGGTGGGAGAAGAGTCTGGAGAACATAAACACTTCATATATCTTTCAAGCCAAATGGCCTATCTCTGTGCAGTAAAATTCTATGTAACCCTTGGATCATGTGCCTATTATCTTTACATTTTGTTTTTGTTTCTTTTCCTTTCCTCACACAACTCTCTTCCAAAATATGCAGGAGTGATGCCAGTTCCAGACCAGCCATCTGTGTCGGAAAAAAATAGCTTGCTGAGCCCCATGCTGACGGCTTCCAATGGAGATGGCTCTGAGCCAGAGACCACTTCTGCTATTCTGGCTTCAGTCAAAGAACAGGTATGTGCCTGTGTTTAATCATGTTTACTTGGAGGAGGGGAAGGAGAACACTGAGAATTCCAAATTCAAAAGAATGCTTTCTGAAGTAACAACTCTTAAAATATATCTATTTTCTGGTACTTAATATGGTTAGAGTTGCCAACACTTCAGGAATTGTGAATTAATCTTCAGGACGCTGCATTGCGCAACGAGGAGAAAAATCATAGCAGAATTATCTTTATGCTTCATCTTCTTAGAACAGATTGGTTTATTACTTACCTTGTGTGAAAGTATTGCAGATGAGGGAAAAGGCTACTTAATTTGATTAAAAAGAACTCTGTGACATTTTCCAATTGACATGGAAAGGCCGGAATCACAGGGATTATGGATGACCAATGATAGGCACTTTGGGTGATGGGACAGTTGGAGAAAGAAGATCTCCCACAATACTCAATCAGAGTTGGCAACACTAAATACTGTACGAGGTTGCAGACTTGCTCGCCGAGCCGGTGTGTTTGATTGCAGACGTTTCGTCACCCTGCTAGATAACATCTCAGTGAGTCTCTGGTGACATGTTGGTGTTCTATGCTGCTCCATTTACAGCATAGCAGAACTGGAACATTTATACAGAGTTTTGAAAAGGAATAGATACCCAAAAAGCACAATCCACCATTACCTCTGGACAGACCACAACAAGAAGACACAACACGGTCAGACACACTAGTCACCCTACCGTACATCAGAGACATATCAGAGATGACCACAAGACTACTCAGACCCCTAGGTATCAGTGTAGCCCACGAACCGACAACCACCCTGCGACAGCTACTGATGAACGCAAAGGATCCCATAGCCACAACCAATAAAACCAACATAATATACAAAATACTATGCAAGGACTGTGAGAAACATTACATAGGCCAAACTGGAAGAAAACTGACAATAAGGATACATGAACACCAACTAGCCACCAAGAGACACGACCAATTCTCACTGGTCTCACTGGACAAAGAAGGACACAAATTTGACTGGGACAACACATCCATAATACCACGAGCCAAACATATACATGCCAGGGAATTCCTGGAGGTCTGGCATTCCAATCGGAACTCCATCAACAAACACATTGAACTGGACCCGATATATAAACCACTAAAAAACAGAACTGGAAGTAATGCCAACCACGCCGGCAAACTGAGACATATAAATAACAAGTGGGACAGAACACCAATGCTTCACTGGAGGCGCACTGATGATGTTACCTAGCAGGGAGACGAAACATCTGCAATCAAACACACCGGCTCAGCGAGCAAGTCTACAACCTCATCCACAACCCGAGCTATAAATCTTCTGAAAAGCTAAATACTGTAGCTAAACATTTGAGGAAGAGAAATTGTTTGCAGTTGTTTCAAATTGCAAAAGGGTGAAACGCTGCTTGTTAGAATTTGAAGTTATTAGGGATTAGAAATGCTACAGTACAATGAAACAATTTAAACTGATAGAGGCATTTATATTGCAAAACTTCAAACTGAATTGTTACTTTTGTTTTAAAATGGAATAAAACATCCTGAGATTATCATATTCTTCTGGTACAAGACCACTTTGAAAAAGTTCAGTACTTAGCTCAGTTGAAATTTTTGAAAAAATAATGTTCTGATTCATTATTATTTGTTTGAACGCAATTTTGTGCACTTAAGGGGCTTGTCCGTCTTTCCAAGTGGGGATGCTATTTTCATTTTCTACTTCGAGTTCACTTTGGTGTTGGTTTGTTGGAATTCTGAATAAACTGCATGTGATAGGAAGTGGATTAATTGATATTGTAAGATGTCGTTAAATTTTTCTTTTCAGGTTGGAATTACAGATGCCTCAGGGTGAAACGTATGAGACACATTTTCCTCTTGTGTTCATTTTCTTCCTCAAAAATCAATCAGATTAAAGTTTGCCATTGCATACTTGCAATGTACGACACAATGTTCTTCAATAAATGAAGCCATTTCTTTTTACCTTATGTACCATTGTGTTCTATTACAATTTCTAAAACAAACTTCCTGTTATTTAGTTGATGAAGGTTGTGTTTTCTTTGAAATGATACAGCACCCAGCTATGTTTATCTCTGCACTACAAATGAGAGTGAATGGTTTAATTGCATTCGGTGTGTGGAAACCTAAAAGGAATTGCTAGATAACAAGGTGCAGGGCTGGATGAACACAGCAGGCCAAGCAGCATCATAGGAGCAGACTCTCTGCTCCTATGATG